TGCTCATGTGTCAACAGTAAAAACACTTTAGTTAAAAAGAGCATTTGTTCACAGGGCACCACCAAGAAACCCAAGAAACCTGATCGCAAGGAGCGGATCAGTGAGCAAACCTACCAGCTCTCCAGGTGGACCCCTTGTGTCAAGGATCTCATGGAGGTACTTTCCATCTGCTGTTGCTTTGTGTCATATAACTACAAGCTAATATTGTGGGTTAGTGTTATTAGACACATATCTCTAAATATCAGAAATATACTCATCTTATAAAAGCATAATAATAATGATAATAAAGACAATAATTATTATATTAAAAATAACAGTATTGATTATGACTAGGAGAGCTCTCAGAGTTTGTAGGAGTATTTAGGAAACAAATGTGTTAAACAGTATTTTGGGTTACCATTGGTACAGTTACAAATTGTTGCTACATGTCTTCCCACAGGATGCAATTGAAGACAAACTTGATCCCAAGCAATACCCGTATATTTCCCAGCGACAGGCATCTGCCAAAGCCAGCGCTCCATCAAGGTGTGTAGCTAAATACAGACTTCAGGTGATACAAAATAAGAAGCTGATTGCCACTATCGTTGCTTCAAAGGCTCTACGTATACATGTATAAAACTCTCAGGACATAAATGTTTGTCTGTTGCTCATCATACAGTGCTCGCTATGGTAACTGGCACAAGAACAGGGGCCCCACAGAGGTGAAGACAGGGCCCCGGATAATCGTCTTCATCATCGGAGGCATGACATACAGTGAGATGCGCTGCGTGTATGAGGTCACCCAGGCCAATGGCAAGTGGGAGGCTTTGATTGGTGAGTTAATTTGACTGAGAATACTTATAGGAGAATTGGGTCGTCTGTTAAGGGGCAATGCACATGTTTTATACAGGCTTGGTTTGCTCAACACAGAGAGCACTACTCAACTTTAGCGCCCCTATAACTGAACTTAGAACGAGGTGATTTTGAAATTCATGCCACAGCTGCATCTTCTAGAAATCCTAGATTAGTTTGAATCGCACTAATCTCCACCTCAAGGTCAGAGGTCAAGTTTTCTCACAATCTTGTGGATGTTAAGAAGTCATTTAGGATTTTGAAATCCGTACCATACTATGAGGCTGACAGCTACACTTTAAAGTATTTTTAAAACTCTTGCAACTCATTTTTATCAAAAGCGCTCGGATCAGATCCAGGCTCTGCTGTGTCCTCTGAATCTGAAACATCACCTGGTTGTTTGGTGTAGAAACACTGACCTCTGTGGACAGTCGAGCATTTGTAACTTTTCAGTAAAACCTTTGCAGAGTATTTGTTTGTGTCTCACGTTATTAACGAGCTTTCACCCGGCACTTGCTGAGCTTTGAGAATTTTGTTTCCTGTAGGTGCCACCCACATCCTCACCCCGACAAAATATTTAAAGGAACTACAGCACCCAGACTTCTTGGACCCCAATGCCTCACCAGAGGGCGCCGAGGAGCCTCCTGTACAATAAAAGAACATCTGGAAGTAAATACTGAACGTCATTTTGTTCTTTGTGCACCTCTGTGTTTGCTGCTGTAGCCCTGTCCACATCATTTGATGCCAGTGGTTTTCACAAACAGTCAGAATCTGTGTTTGTCGGTGTTTTAATAAATCGTCCTGCAGGTGAACTCCTGTTCCTGCTGGATTTCTACCCTCCCTCGTGTTTGACAGCTGTCTGAGGCAGGACTGTGTTCTGGTTGTAAAATGGCACAGGTTACCTGCAACATGTCATACCATGTAATCTTTGAAACCTGCATTTTGTTCTAGCGATAAGATAACATTGTTGAAAAACATTTTAAATTCATAGCACCTGTCAGTTACAACAAAGTGATCTTCTAGATAACACATACAAGGACCCAACACCTGCAGTAACACTGTGAGGACTGTAGTGTGCATATTAGACAGATATGTCGGGCTGTTCTCTTCATTTGACTTCTTTTTATTTTATTCTGATCATTTTGCATCCTCACCTCTATAAAAACCATCGACTGTAGTATTACATGATGCTGAATTATCCTTTCGCTCTTGATCGAGTAACGACAACTTTACGGTGCATCCAGAAACTATTCAGAGTCCTTCACTTGTTCCAGTTTCGTAATGTTACGACCTTATTCTAAAATGGATTAAATTCACTTTCACCTCAAAATTTTTACACACAATCCTATAACGACAGAGGACAGTGGTTTGCTTGAAATGTTTGCAAATGTATTAAAAAATAAACGAAAATATTAAATTCAATTCAGTTTTATTTATATAGCGCCAAATCACAACAAAAGTCGCCTCAAGGCGCTTCATAGATACAGAGAAAAACCCAACAATCATATGACCCCCTATGAGCAG